CGCTGAGCCTGCAGGGTTTTGCGATTCGGTTTAGGGTTCAGGGTTTAGGGTTTAGGGTTCAGGGTTTAGGGTTTAGGGTTCAGGGTTTAGGGTTTAGGGTTCAAGGTTTAGGGTTTGGGGGAAAGGGTTTAGGGTTTAGGGGTTTAGGGGTTTAGGGTTTGGGGGGAAGGTTTAGGGTTTAGGATGTAGGCAGACTCAAGTATATCCCACACTGCGCGTATATGGAGGTGAACATCAAATCTATGCACCTGAAGAAAGCGTCCCCCGCATCCGGTGTTAACCCGCACGACTATGCATCTTTGGAAGTTTGAACGCGTAATCATTAATAACCACATCCCCAAAAGCCCAACCCGATCCCAGAGATCCCAACCCTATCCCAAATCCCAAAGCCCAGCAGAGGTCATTGTCGCGCCTATCCTGATTCTTTGCTCACCACCCTTGCTGCTGATGGCACACTTGGACCACCAGGTTCGCGCTTGCTTTCAGCACCGTAAATACTCAAGTAGTTTATACGTTGGCCTCAAAGTACCTATGTAGGGGCTACCTTAAGACCAAAGAAAAACGATTTGGGTACATGGACCCTTGGGGGAATTCCTAAATCTTTTCAAAATAAGTAAAAAGAGTTGCCCCTAGTTCAGAATATTTCTACCCATGACATAAAATGTTATGCATAAACTTTTTAAAGATATTATGAAAAATCTTTCGGGTGAAATTGTTAAATGATTGAAAAAAAGTAGAATAAAAATTGTTGTTTAATTAATTTGCCCCGTTGTTTAATTCATTGATTTTTTTGATATATCTATAATAATAAACTCCTTCGGTTTTTGTAATTTCAAATTCCGTTTCCTCAATGATTTTACTAATTTGCTGTGTTGAAACTTTTTTATTCAAATAGTTTTATTTTTCAAGTAATCATTAAATTCTTTGGTAAGATCACTGCGTAGAATTTTATCTTGTCTGCTTGTTGTTTTTCATAAAACTCATTAATATAATATGTTATTAAATTTTCCATGGTCAGTATACTAGGATTTTTAGCTGGTGATGTGCCTTCTTCAATTTCGCTATTATTTTCTTCATTAGCTTCTTCAATTTTCTCTGAATTTGTAAAATTATCTGAATTATTTTTAGTATTATTTTTAATATTATTAGCATTATGTAATTCTTCTTCTCTTTTCATATCTTGCATTCTTATTTGCCATTCTAGTTGTATTCT